AGATAGAGTATTGAAAATTTCCACAAATATTCTCTATAGATAAAGTTTGTTTGGTGTTGAAAACGGGCAATATCGATCCACGTTTTCGGATAGCCTCCAAAAACAGCTTTAATGGGCATACCTATCTGTTTCAAAAGTACTAGTATAACGATGAAATTCGACATAAATAAGTTTTATATGATCAAAAATCTCCCTAACAAATTTTATGAGAATCGGTTCACAATTGACCCTACCCCCCATATAAGGTCCCCTTCAGAAAATGACTTTAACGCTCATTACTGGCTTAAAAATACGAGTGTAGTGATTAAATTCGACACACATAAGTTTCAATGAAGCCAAAATCTCTCTATCAAACTTTATGTGGATCGGTCCATAATCGACCCTACTCCCTATATGAGGTGCCCTTCAAAAAATTACTTAAACGATCATTACTGGCTTAAAAATATCTGAAATGCGATGAAATTCGACACACATATGTTTTATACAAGTTAAAACCACTCTACCAAATGTATTGAGGATCTGTCCATAAGAAAATTACTTTAACGATCTTTGCTGACTTAAAAATACGTGAACAGTTATGAAATTTTATATAAGAATCTTTTATAGGAACGTAAATCTTCCTACCGAATTTCATGCGGAAAGTGTCGGGAAGTGATATTCGATGTAAAGATGTTTTATATGAACCAAAATTGCTCTAAAAAAATTTTATGAAAAAAAGGTCCTCTTCAGTTAATTTGATGAGTAATGTCACCCTGATGTTTACAGGGGAGCATTCCTTTTAAGGCATATGGTTTGATGGTGGGTATATCAGATTCGGCGCAGCACGAATATAACACTCTCACTTGTTTTTTTTTTTTTTTTTTTTTTTGGAATACAATTTGTAGTCAATTGTCTAGAGCATATTTTAGTAAGGAATTAGTTACTGGTTCTAATCCTAGTAGATATTAGAAGTTTTTTTAAATATTGATTTTTTTCATTGAGTATAAGAATAGACTAATAAACACTGAAAATAACTGAAAAAATAACTGAAAAAAACTTAAATTTTTTACTTACTTTATGATCTTCATATAATTAAATTCCATATAGATCTATCAGTTTTAAATATATTTATTTCGCTTTACTTTACATCTAACACAAAATTAAAACCCATTGTTTTCGGCAGCATACTTACAAGAAAAGCAATTATAAGATTTTATTATAAATTTTCTTTTTGCTCAAAATATTTTCATAAAATTCAGATTTTCATTTTTTTTTTATTATTCAACATATACAATTTTTAACATAAATTTAACATTCGTTGGTCATTGTCGCATAAAGTTCGCAGTAAAAATTATTTCGAAAATAATCTATTTACAATAAGAAGTCAGTTCGGCAAAGTTGCAGCCTTTAACGCAGCACTCATCATAAATACCCAAAAGATTGCGACGTCTGCGAGTTTTGGCAAAGGTATTGACATGATCACCCATTAATAAATCATCCAAAAATGAGCCTTTTGTATGCATAGGGGTATCGTCCTCAATGTCATTATAGATATCCAAAACATCCAAGTCGTTGTGTAGGGGTACTGAATAAGGAAAATTATTAAAAATAAGTTGAAAAAGTGTATTTGATTAAATATTACCTGATTTCTTAGTGATCATTTGATTATAACCATTAAGGCAAACTGATTCGAGGACCTGTACTAATACAGGGCCACACATGCGCTTAGTACCAGCATGAACCTCATAAAGAGCAGCAATGAAAACAAACAAACACAACAATTTCATTTTGTTAAAAAATATTTTAAATTACTTTTAACAAATTATTTCTTTTAATAAAGAATTAGTTATTTGTAGGTAATAGATGGCTTAAAAGCTTAACGTTGACTGTGCTTTTTACCATAATTATCTCAAGTATTTATAGTTAAAAATTAAATGGTTATTTGTTATTGCAGTCTACTTAGACTAAAGGATAACGAAGAAAAGCTGTCATTTTAAATTATTTCAAATCATGTGCATTTATTCGATACACATGTGCATATTAATATTCATAGAGATAAATATTTATGACATTGATTTATCGTTAGATTGTAGTTGTAAGAGAATAGATAAATAAACATGTTAATACGCCTAAATCTTAAGATGACAAATATGTCTATTGTTTCTAAGATGTTCTATAATGTATATTATATAATTATAACTGCAAAATCAGCATATTAAGTGGTGGTAGACTATCCACACATACATATGAGAGAACTCAACGTCATTAACCCACAAGTATTCAAAAAATCATCTTCACAGACACATAATTATGCAAATTATCTTAAGGATACACTTACATGTATAAACATTGACACATTGTTTTAGTAATTTATGTAAATTAAAGTAAGATACAAACACGTTGATATACATACATAGTCTATGTATACAAACACCTTAATGTCTTATTAACTAGGCCAACCGGATTTACACATTGTTTACGAAATATTTATTGAAAGAGTTACTTTTTGAAAGTAATTTAAGTTAGACAAAGTTCAAGTGAATATGCTCAAAGTAAAATTTTATATTAAATAGATTAGGGTGTTTTTTAGTTTTTGAATTTAGAGCAGCGTGAATGTGAAAAAAAGTATTTTGAAATCATATTCGACTAAGCCGGGGGTCCCGTGGATAACTTTTAAGAATAAGAATACCTCTCAACCGATGCGTTTTAATGTGCTAAATAATAGAATAATAAATATTATTTTCTTAAAGAGCCTGTGTTCCCTACTAGCAATTGAAAATCTTGATCTTAGTATAATATGTTCGAAAAAATATTCTGGAGCCTTTTCGAAAAGGGTCTCAAAATTTCCGTAATTCATACTGCCTTTTGTAGGGATTTGGATTAATTATGGACCGAAATTTTTTAATTTAACTTATTATCTGATAGATGGGCTAAGTATAGAGCGATCCTCATAAATATGGTCCTCCTTAACTTGTTTCTATTCAATTTTATTGATATACATACTTTTACAACCCAGTTTTGAGGTTAAAAGTAACTTTTTTGAAGTGATTTTTTATGGAGGTGGGGTCGTTATTTATCGATCAGAAGTTTAGTTTCCTATAAAAGATGTTTATTTTAATTTCATCGCTATACTTGTCAGATATGAGTGTTAAAGTAATTTTCATTTTCTTAAATTAACGGCTAGAACCAATTATAGGCTGATTGTGCCCATTTTCAATACCAAACCAATAGAGAAAATTTCAGTCATGGAGCTCTATCTGCCGTGTATTTAACAGAAAGACAGACGGACGGACATTAGATATATTTTATTCTTATAAGGACCGATTATAAAAATACATTTTCGGGTCTACGACAACGGAATCTTAAAGACCATTTATCACTGATATTCAAATCTAATCCACCCGTCTCTTATCGTGATTCCTAAGAATCCTTTGAAAGTCAGAGATATGTTTTATTAGCAACAGCATTCTGAGGTTTTAATCTATCTGAGGTTTTAATATATAGATCCAAGTATCTTGGAACTGATGTTATTCCGGAAATAACATTCCTGACTGATTGGATGATTCTTACGAATTACGTACAGGAAACTGAGTTTCTGAACACTGGAACATAATTCATTCAGTGAACATTTTTTTCATCAAAAGGAGCGCACAACAGGCCCGATAGTGGCCTAGCTGTATTTTTTCGGATTTGATGTAGTATATATCCTCCTATCAACCTAACCTAATACATACATATGTATGTGCTACTGCACGTTAGCGAATTGCAGAATCTTGTTCATTGAATACTACTGTTCTTCGTTCAAACAGTTAAGACTAGGAGTAATCAATAGCGGAGTGGATCAATTTTGATCATTAAGAGCAGTATCTGAGATTTTTTGATCATCAAGAGCAGTCTCTGAGATTTTCCCAAGTTGAGAATCACTTGGAGCTAGCAAAAATGATATTCATATTCCTTTGACTGACTGATCGATGTATAGAAATAGATCTAATATAGTCCATCAATAACTTTTGTATATTATCTAAAATACTGTATTTCATAACAAAGGATCTTTCTAGGATCAGGGGTCGAAATTTGGTATCAGTTGCATTTTTTCCAGCTCAGATATCTTTTTTATACCCATCACCTTCGTGAGAAGTTTGTCAGTCCATTTGTAATTTCTACAATATAATTTCCAACCCTATAAAGTATATATGTTCTGGATCCTTATAAATAACGGAGTAGATAAATGAGAAAAAATCCGAGACAACCTCTGACAACAGCGTTGAGATTGTGTGTTTGTGTTTATAATATACAGTAAACCACAGGAAACAGTAATAACATTTAGTATTTGTGTCTGTTGTTTTGAATTTAATTTTTTGTCACAGAGATGGAAAAGCATTTTTAAACAAAATGCGATTTTTTTTTAATTAATGAAAAAATTAAAATATTATTATATTTAACACTATGGTGAAGGGTACATAAGACTCGGCATAACCGAATGTAGCATTCTCACTTGTTATCAAATTAATATAGATTGCAGGACATCAAAATGTTTGGGAAATAAAAATTCCTTCAAAAATTTATATTTAAAAATTTAAACCTATTACTATCTCTTTATTGATTACATTTGCGTTTGAATCATCTTATAGACAAAATCAACAGGACACATTCCTTTCCTTGAATTTTTCCGCGTCTAACTATCATAATTGAGCAAGCTGCAGCTCTTGACCCACATATCTTATTTTATTTATCATATTAATATACTTATCTAGCTGAAATTGAAGTATTTATCCATATTATCCATACAAAGGGTTCTTTTGCAATTGAATATTCACGGAATATCATATTGTGTTTAATTAATTGTTGAAAATAGGTTTTCCTCTTTTTATTTTCTTATTAACATCTTTTTTTTTATACTTCAAACTTATCCTTTAAATATAAAGTTTGCTATTTTATTTATTCCTTTATATTCAAAAATAAGTGCATACTCTTAAATCATACTCCTTATATATTAATTGAATTTTTCTCTCTTCCTACAGATACTATCGGGCCAATACAGTGCGCCATCAGAACGAAAATTGCGAAGGAGTATGCATGTTGAATCATTATTGTGCCATAACAAGAGTGGATTATAAAGAATTTCGACAATGTCTTGAGAAAGAACAAAGTGCATTGCGATCCGGTGGCAACAGGCATACTGCAAATGGAAAAATTCTTATAATATTATCAATGATGCTAACAATTACCATGGCCTATATACATAGTATATGTGATTTTTTGTGCATTTTCCAAAGGCTGATAACTAGATGTCAACAATTAAATGTAATTAAAAAATACCAATTATATGTACGTTTCAGGGAAATGGGAATAAAGTTTATGGGTAATTTTGTGGCGCCCAACAACAACAACAACGGTAGCAACAATAATAATGGAGCAAACTATAAGAAGGAAACAAAAGGCTTTGATCAACTTCTGCTCTATAATGTTGAGTCTATTGAGAGCAAAAGGTATCAGGCATTAAGGCAACAAAACCATAATTGTCACCATTGTTTGCAACAGAAACCCATGAGTATTACAGTGAATACTGCAAATATGGCTGAAATAAAAATCAAAGACGTTGTTACACAGCTTATTGTGGTGCAACCGAATCAAAGAGAATGCCAGCAAATAGTTTTAAGTCATACAAAGAAATTGTACACCGTTAAACGTAATACTCACAAGAACAATTTACGCTTGGAATATTTAAAATTAATTAGTTTATTAATACTTTATAGCAAACAAATACAAACATTAAGCGTATATATCTTAAGGGTAGCACAATATTCAATAGTATTAAGGAGAAATTTGCAAAAAACTTGTTCGCATTTAACCTTTGAGAGTTGTAGTAAACTGGTGATGAGTACAAGGTTTAGTCATCGTATACCAGTTGTAACAAATATTATGCTTATCTAATCAACTTGAGATAATAAGCCTTATTCTAAAAGGTCATGCTGTGAGAATATTTGTATGTCGCTTCCGGCTTTAATTATGTATAATTTATTTGCTAATTAGTATAATAACAAAAAAAATAAAGAAAAAAAAAAAAAAAACTCCTATTGATTTGCAGTTATATTGTATACTAATCGTAGTAGTTAAATATTAAGTTAAATTTATGAATTTGTTTATTTAATTAATTGCATAAAAAGGGATGTCATTAAACTATTTAAAGTGTTTTATAAAGAGATGGTTTAAATAAAGACTATATGTTCAAGGTTTGAGTTGTTTGGTTGTACTACTTTGAACATCTACGAGGGAGAAAATTCAAACTGAAACTCGAAACAGTTTTACATATTTATTACTTACAATCCAAATAACCATAGTATAAACTCCTATATCCAATGGTTTGCAAATCGAATGGTTGAAGTCTAACTAATAGAGTTATCTATAGACTAGCCAATAAATTAGTCTTATCTTGTCTTGTCTACTTAGTAGGCTGGTTCATAAACTATACAGTAGATTAACACATAAGCTTGTCAATACACTAAGCCATAGACTAGATAACATACTAGTCAGTAAACTATTTAACAGGTTATTCTAAGACTAGATAACAGAATGTCATCTGAATTTACTTACTAGTTTGTAGTCTATTGACTAGTCTATGGCCTAGTATGTTAATTTGCCTATGGACAATTCTATAGACTAGTCTGTTGATTAGTTTATCACTAGTATTCTAACTGGCTTAACTGGTCTACTCTCTAGTATATTAGCTATTTGACTTACTAATTTGTTGACAATTCTATGCTATAGCCTATTGTCTAGTTTACCGACTGTTGACGAATTAAAATACACTAGGCCATAGACTAGATAACATACTAGTAAGTAAACTATTTAACAGGCTATTCTAAGACTAGATATCAGATTGTTAACTAAGTAATCTTAGTAAGTAAAACAGCTAACATACTAGAGCATAGATCAGTCTATAGACCAGTTAAGCCAGTCAGTATAATAGTGATAAACTAACCAACAGCCTAGTCTATAGAATAGTCCATAGGTAAATCAACATACTAGTCCATAGATTAATCAACAGACTACAGTCAGTAAATTCCTCAGCTGAATGTTCAACAAGCTAAAGCATATACTAATCAATAGTAGAGTGCATAGCTTTTGAGAGGAATAGCTTATATCAATAGACTAATCCACTGATAAATTAACAGACTATTCAATATACTAATCCATAGACTAGTCAGAAAATGACTCAACAAACTATTTCATAGACTTGTTAACAGAGTAGGCAACAGACTAATCGATAAGCTGGTCAACAGACTAAAGAATAAACCAGTCAACCAGACTAGTGAATAGGCTAGTCAACAGTCTTAAAGTAAAATATATGATTCTTTCATTTCCAAATGTTCATTCAAATTCAATGCTATCAAACAATTACATAAAATGTGTTAATCGATATTAATTTTCATCCCTCGATTAACACGAGTGTTATTCTTCATACAAATATGCATGCATATGTACGTATGATTAATATTGAATTCAAGAATCACAATCATACGCCCTAAAAGTTGCTATGAGAATATGATATTTATTTTTCATAATAAAGCATTTAAGCAAATTTATCGATGAAATGGGATAAAATATTGACCGATGGTGGAGTCACCGTTTACATAACATTTATTTATCCTGAATTTCGTTACTACATTAGTAATTTTAAATGAATTGTTCACATTTAACTCATTTTTCTGAAGGGGTCTTTGAATGAAAGCTAGAGAGTCATCAAGGCAATTATAGTCCTGCAAATTTTTGTTGAGATACGAGTATATTAAACATAATTATGGGCTCATAAGCCCTATTTTAGACATTTTCAATAGGCTTCGTCCCTGGAATAATAAACGATTATGTACCAAAATTTATTGAATTATCTTAAAAATTTCGCCACGGAGTTTGCTTATAAGGTTTACACGGACAGACAGACAGACAGACAGACAGACAGACAGACAGACAGACGGACGAACATAGCTAAATCGACCGAGAAAGTGAATCTATGCCAATTTGGTATACTTTAGGTGGTGTATGACCAAATAACTCAATATATAATCCCCACTTAAGTTGTGTAGGGTACAATTATAGGAAAACTTTCTAAATTTACAATTCGAACTTGAATCTTATATAAATTAATCATTGCTGTATAACTTCTTAATAAGGCACGATTTCAAATCCTACCATAGAAATTCTTTAAAAATTCAAACCATCATCTCTATAAAATAAATTAAATAGTTACTTGTATAATAAACAAAAAAATACTTGTTAATAATTTGTTATTGTTTTTTCTTAAATCTTATAACAAAAATTTTATTTGTAGTTATAACAACTAAAAAAATATAAGACACCACATGAATACAACCAATTAGTGTAATAAATATAATTTAACATATAATTCTAAAAAAACTTCTTAAATACGAGATAAGGCTGATATGTAATGTCAAATGTTTTAAATTAAATAATTCCATGTTTTGAACACCGAACTTAAAAAAAAAACAAAAATTTAAGGTTAAACCCCCAGAAAAAATAATAAACAACTCGTATTAGTAAAAACAAAACTACATAGATAATTCTTGTAAACTAAATACTAAACAATTACCAACAACAAAACGAAGAAGAACAAATAATTATTGTAAAATTTATACATGTAAACAAAAAAAAAAAAAAAAAAAAACACTTATAACAACAAAATAGTAGATTTATAACTATAAATTAAATTTATTTATTATATAAAACAAAAACAAAAAAGTTTTATAATAATGAATGAGTTGTATAAAAAATAATAGCAAAATATATTGACATCTAAATAAATAAATAATGTCTTCGGACATTAAACATTAATAATGCAATGTAAATATATCTAACAAAAAAAATATAAAATGATAAAATTTATTTTATAAGTCTATGTAATCTCATGTGTGTAATTGTAAAATATTAAATAAATAATTTAATCTTAGCATTTATTATATACAAAATTCAATATATATAATGAAAATGGAAAAAAAACTCAAAAACCAAAATAAAACCAATTTTCATTGGGCTAGGCTTAAATTGATTATATATATTTAGTATATATCTGTATATGTAAAGTATTAAATATATAAATATAAAGGTAAATTTAAAGAGCAAATAACACACTAATAAATAATGAAATAAAAAGCAAAATCTATTTGTCTCAAATGAAATTATTTGATTTGTTTTAATTTATCTATTGTATGGTAGACAGAAGATGTTGAACGTAAGTATTACTGTGAATGATTCGTTTAGTTACTTGGGTATTAATTTACTAGAGAATTTTATGAAACAAAAACATTATTGAAAATTTAGCTATTAAAGTCATGTTATGACCACACTATTATGAACCAAGCTCAATGATTCTCCATACAAATTTTCGATTCAGTTTGAATATCCTTAAGAACGAATGAATATGATAGCTAATTAACAGAGACCGAAAATAACTGGTCACTGGTAAATTTCGGTCTAGGATAATTTTATCGAGCTTAGAGCTATAACGAATACTGTAAGCTCTACATTATATAAGTAGTAATCCATTCGGGAATAATCAGAAATGAAAGAGCGAATATACTTTAAAGAAAGGTAAGGAAGCTTGAAGAAGTAAACATGACGAATGCAGAACTATACTACTCAAGGAGATCTAAATTAACAAGTAAGAGTTCTATATTCGGCTATGCCGAATCTTGTATACCCTTCACCATGTGGTTAAATAAAGTAAGTACGGATTTTATTACAAAAGTACTAGAATGTCCCGTTTTATAGATTTTTATTCAATCAGATTGTTGTGTTTGTGCAAAATTAAACCAAAAATTACAAGTTATGGAACGAAAAAGTACCAAAAATGCTTTCCTACAGATTTTTATTAACATAGGACCAATGATATTTACTTTTATCTTTATAAAGAACCTATTGAAGAATGAAAAAGTACCAAAAAGTTCCTTCTAAGACGATCTAGCCATGTCCGTCCATATGTCTGTCCGTCTATTGAAAACACGATAGAAACCAAATGGAAATAGCTAGCGAGCTGAAATTTTGCTTAGATATTTTGTGTTGATGCAGTTTGTTTGGTATTGAAAATGGGTAATATCGGTCCACGATTTCGCCTAGCCCCCATATAAGGTCCCCTCAGAAAATTACTTTTACGCATGCTAAAAACAGCATCTATGGCGGTAATATTCGGCACTAGCATGTTTTATAGGAACTTTAACACTTTGTGAAATTTTAAAAGGATCGGCAATAATTGACTCTAAACCCCATATAAAGTCCCCATCAAAAAATTACTTTAACGCTCATAACTATCTAAAAGAAGCAGTGATGAAATTCGATATAAATATATTTTATAGGAATTTGAATATCTTTGCAAAATTTTGTAAGGATGGGTCCATAATTGACCCTACCCCCCTCGGTCCCCTTCCGAAAATGACTTTAGCGCTCATTACCGGCTTAAAAATGCCAGTCTAGCGATGAAATTCGATATGAAAAAGTTTTCTGCAATCCAAAATTTCTCTAGCAAATTCTATGAGGATCGGTCAATAATTGAACCTAACACCACCCCCCTATAAAGTTCCCTTTAGAAAATTACTTTAATTCTCATTACTGGCTTAAAAATTCGAGTATAGCAATGCAATTCTATGAGGATTGGTTCATAATTGACCCTGCCCTCCATATAAGATCCCTTTCAGAAAATGAGCGTTAATCATTACTATCTTAACAATACGAGTACAGCGATGAAATTCAACAAAAACAAGACCAGTATGAACAAAAAAAATATTAAGAAGATCGCGCCATAATTGACCCTACCTCCCCAGACAAGGTCCATTTGATTTTAACGCTCAATACTGGCTTAAAAATACGAGTACAGCGATGAAATTCGTCAAATCTGGGTCAATCATAATTGACCCTACCCTCCATATAAGGTCTCCATAAGGGAGCATTCCTTTTCAGTAATAGTTTGATGGTGGGTATATAAGATTCGGCACAGCCGAATATAACACTCTTACATGTTATAAATAAGAAAGTACAAGAACAAAATTTACCGTATGATGCTGTGTGTTGTTTATTTTTTGTCTGAACATGCAAAATAAATCACAATTTTTGATGAAATTTTCAGAGGTTGTCTCTGATTTTTGATTATATTTTGCTCATATATGGACCTATTTTGCTAATTTTAAATAGCATTTTTCCCGAACGTATGTCTAATAGAATTATCGAAGATTCGGATCTCTCTCTTCTCAAAACTGATTTCAACATACATACATACATACATACATACATACATACATAATACATACATACATACATCATACATACATACATACATACATACATACATACATACATACATACATACATACATACATACATACATACATACATACATACATACATACATACATACATACATACATACATACATACATACATACATACATACATACATACATACATACATACATACATACATACATACATACATACATACATACATACATACATACATACATACATACATACATACATACATACATACATACATACATACATACATACATACATACATACATACATACATACATACATACATACATACATACATACATACATACATACATACATACATACATACATACATACATACATACATACATACATACATACATACATACATACATACATACATACATACATACATACATACATACATACATACATACATACATACATACATACATACATACATACATACATACATACATACATACATACATACATACATACATACATACATACATACATACATACATACATACATACATACATACATACATACATACATACATACATACATACATACATACATACATACATACATACATACATACATACATACATACATACATACAGACGGACATGGCTAAATCGGCTCCGCTATTAATACTCGGAACAATTATATACTTTATATGCTCCGAAAATTATATATATTATAGAAATAACAAATGGAATGACAAACTTATATATACCCTTCTCCCTACGGAGAATGGTATAAAAACATGGGAGAGAGAATCGCATAGGAACACTTCGAATAATGGAATGGTGAGAAGGATTACTAAAATCCTATAGGATCACGGACGGGTAGCCTCATCATTTAGTATAGGTTTAAGGATACAACTAAATAAATTTAAGATTTACTCCTTGACTTCTATTTATATAATTCTACTATTTAAATACAATAAATTTCATTTGCAAACATAAAATTCAAGCAACTAGCAACTTTATAATATGAACCCCAAGTGTTTAGTTGTCAATAGTGACATGATTTCTAAAGGCCTAATCGTTAAATCTCATAAAAAAACTAAATAACATCTAATAACATTAAAGTCAAGTAAAATAGAACAATACAGAAAAAAACTGACAACTGTCACTTTAGTCAAAAACCCTTTAAACACAAATAAACATTGACATAAAACACAACAAAAACTGATAGACAGAAAGCAAGACAGACAGACAATCAGAGAGAAATAAGAACTGAAAATAATACCAATGGATACATGTTGTATAAATATTCTATATGTACAAACAGACATACATATGTGCATGTATGTATATATAACTATGATTAAATCTACTAAACAAATACATAAATAGTAGATTTACATACAGACACTTCAAGCAGTAAGTATTGCATAAAATATTGTATAGACATACAATCCATATGATACAAACAAGTGTTTGTATGTTTTTAAATGAACAAAAAAAAATCCCTTAATGTACAGAAGGCATTAGAAACGAATACTCATTTGAAATCCATAAGAAACACATTTGTACAAATAAATATAAATGTGTATTTAACTGTGTTGGCAAGCTGTTACACTAATAATATTTGCATTTACATTTTACATTTAACTGGCACACCTTTAATTACTTTACAACATTTGCAAAATTCAAATAGAATTTACAAGAGGGTACAAGAAGAGCAGCAGAAAAAAAAAGAAGAACAAAGAAATGGAAAATAGCAATACTTTGATGGAAAGCACTTAATGTATGGTGTTGTCTTAACGAGGGTCGTAGGAAATATTTGCTTAAATGCTGTAGATTTATATGTGTTTATTATGAGAGTATTCTATGGTATTATGGCATCGCAAAATTACTCGTAGAAACAAGTTTCTCTTGTGCAGGAACTAGTTTCTCTATGTTATACTTTTCCTTTCCTTAGGATTGTGGGATTTTCAGCATTAGTTCAGAAATAAACTACGAAATCCCTAATATCTTCTCAAGGTTTTACTAGGGAAGCTACATTTTTGGATAACAATTCATTGGATATTGGTTAGTGAATGTGGTCATATTGAAGACTCATTTAGAATTTTTACTCCATTGAAATTTTGCAGCGATGATTAGATATTACTACATTCACTAAGTTAGTGTTACAGGGTCTAAGACCTCCGATGCGTTTACAAACATGTCACCATACTTCTATGAGTGGCAAAGGAAATTTTTAATTGTTTTTTCTAATAAGCCCTATTGTAGAAAAACAACATGTTTTTTTTGCTGCAACTACAAGTTTATCGACTGTAACGGGAGACACTTGTCCTTAATTTCTGAGAGGAAAAACTTCGTGGATCTATTTTCAGACTATCAGCTGAAATCCAATTATTTATATTA